GTCGTCGTCGTCGTCGTCGTCGTCGTCGTCGTCGTCGTCGTCGTCGTAGCTGTTTGTTAACACGATAACTCAAAAAATAATTGAGATAATCAAAATCTGGAAATGCCAAAAGTTTTGTATTCGGGAAACTTAGTTTAAGTCCGAAGATGAGCCATTTTCGATTTGATCCTGGGGTACTTGCCCTAAGAAAAACCTCAAAAAATTGACACTTTTGTATGGGAGGTACCCGTAACTCGACTCCGATTGGCTTCAAACTTTCTGTGATTCCATTTTTTGGGAGAAGAATAAGATTCTGAAAGTTTGAAACCAATCGGAATCGATTTACGGGTACCTCCCATACAAAATTTTTGAAATTTTGACTAAAATTACCGATTTTTGGACAATTTGGTATGGGAGGTACCCGTTAATTGATTTTGATGGGCTTCAAACTTTCTGAGGTTTCATTTTTTGGAGAAAAAGTAAGATTCTGAAAGTTTCATGTTGATCGCATTTGCGGAAGTTTGATTTTTTGTCCTACATTTTTGTCGACATTTTCTTGGAAAAAATTGAGGGCCAAAAACCAAACTTCTGCAAATGCGATCAACATGAAACTTTCAGAATCTTATTTTTTCTCCAAAAAATGAAACCTCAGAAAGTTTAAAGCCAATAAGAATCGGTTTACGGGTACCTCTCATACAAAATTGTCGAAGTTTTAGTTAAAGTGACCGATTTTTCACTTTATTTTCATTATTTTATTTTCACCGCCTTTATTTCAAGAAAATTCACAAAAAATAACCAAAAGTACATACGGACAACGCAGGCCAACGGTACGGAAAAGTTCGGGATTACCAATGTAATTCTTTTTATCTTCTGATGTTTCTGATGCTCCTGCTGTTTCTTTTTCGCCTTTTTGCTTTGATTTTGTGCATACAATTTTATGTGCGTAGTTTGTTCGCCTTATTTATTGGTTACGGATGCGATGAATACAGGCAAATGTTCCATGAACAACATCATTTTCTTTTTTCCATCTCTCTTTCTCCCTCTCTCTCTGGGTCTCTCATTCTCTTCCTTTTTCCTTCTGGCTTTGGTTCTCATCGCTCTGTATCGGGAAAAATATTTTTCAACGAATACAAATTTGTTTTTGATCACGGTGAAGGCGAAGAAAAAAAAACGTAAGACAGAAATGACAACTGTGTGCATCGCTGTCATCGTCGACACGACTCAATGAATGCAGGCAAATACAACAACAGAGGAAGAAAAGAAAATGCACGCCCGGAAGTTAGCATGCAGAGAAAGAAGTACACGACCAAGCTGGCAAAAACTTTGACAGTTTAATTTAATTTGAATCAATAATGGAATAAAATCGAGAAGATAAATCCCCTCAAATTCAAAGTTTTCATCGTTTTTTTTAATATTGAAAATGGTAAAAATGGAGAAAAATGAAAGCAATTCAACTTACATGTGAATTTCAATGCATTTTTTTCCCACTATTATCTGCTTATTTTCCATTTACATCACTTGAACCGATGATGCAAATGCAAATATTGTACCAAATAATGATGATGTTGCGAACACAAACAACATTTGAATATTGGTTTGTTGTGTATTTTCCGGTGTGTATGTTTATGAGTGTTGTGAGTAGCGATTTTTGATTTTTCGTTGAGCAATTGGTTTTTTTCACATTACCAACCGCATTTAAGTGTAAACATTCTTGGGATATCTTGTGCTTCGAGTACTCCATATGCGGAGTGTATATGTGTAGAGTGCATTATCAATATCCATGGCAACAGACAACACAATCGTAGCTTTTGGAATTTTCGTACAAAACTATGTGAGACGATTGAAAACTTCGACCGAAGCGACTTAATTGCGATTGCAGAGCGAACTGCTGTTGTTCAAATAATTTTGCCCGAGATAGATAGATAGAGAGAGAGAGAGAGAGAGAGAGAGAGAGAGAGAGAGAGAGAGAGA